GTTACAGGAATTTGAGTTCAATTAGTAAGTTAGAGAAGAACCTTTTTTCCATAAAATAATGTTCTTTTCTCCTAATTTGCTAGACAGAGAAAACTTATCTCCCAAAAAATGTTCTGAGCTCTTCAACTTCCTGTGAAAGTTCCTAACTTCAGTAATAGAACAAAGAATTCCTGCTTTTTTCTTTTTCCATTTGGAATGAAAGTGAATAAAACATTTGTTTTAGGAGATTTAGACATTTTCAAGAAACTGTGGGCAGCGCCGGGCGAGGCCAGAGAATCTGGGATCCCAGGCAGCTCACCACGGCTTCTGGCATCCAAAGCCCCTCTGGAAGGTGGCGGCAGGGGGCGAAGCTGGAGGATCTGGGACCCCAGGTAGCTCACCAATGCTTCCCAAATCCAAGGTCCCTCTGGTTTTACACATTTGAATTTGGTAATTAGAATGAATGATCTGAAAACAATATGCAGTATAAGAACCATGTTGAACTCCTACCATTTTGTATGTTGAAGCTTTGCATCATCGCCAATGTTTTTTTTTAATTTTTTTTTTTTTTACTTGTTACTGTCTTTGCTTGTTTGATCAATCTTCCATTCTTATGTATAATGGACTGAGCAACTTCGTTGAAGATAACAGCATGTAATATAGCAACCATTTTAAATTTCTATCATCTTGTCTTGAGGTCATGTATCATTTTTGATGTTTTTGTGTTGTTTTGATTTTGTCTTCATTGTTGTTTTGTCAGTTGTTTTTAATTTTTATTATAAAAAACTGGGAAAAGCTTCTTTTCCAAATCAGTTTTTATGCTAACTTTTCTGATCATTCTCTAATATTTTTATTAATTGGAGGTCTGTCTTTCAAGAGGCGAATAGACTCTTTTTTTCATTTAAGAGCATTGGTTTAACATGATGAAACCGAGCATAGAATTTATGTAATGTGTCATGAGAGCAAAGTAATGAAACCACCCAAAAGACATAGCATTTACCCACTGAGACTCATTAGAATTGTCTGAGAGTTTCTCAGTTCTGTTTACATTTAATTAGTAGTCTTTTTAAAGAGAGCCTGTGATAATATTGCTACCTAGTTCAGTCGGAGATCTCTTGAGCTATACCTTTGCATAAACGCCAGATAGGCGATTGAGCCCTCATGCCTCAAACTATGAGAGAAAAACTCTCCCAGGTGTGATAAATCCTGCAGGCAACACTTATGAAACTTCATCTTAGATAAAAAGTTTTCTTTTCTAAATACAATACACAGTACTTTTTCTTTCCTCAGCCATGAGAATGTTTCTCTTCCTTTTAAACACTGACAAAAATAAATCCTGGAAAGTGAAATTTTCCAAAGGATAATTTTCTTTCTGTTCTGCATTTGAACGTTGAATTTACAGAAACTCTAGTCTAAAGCTTCAAGGTTCTAGTTTTAAAATTCTATCTCAAGTTTTTACTTTTGTTTTATCCAAAAGAGATTACCTGGAAGTTAATTTTTACTTTATTTTTGATCCTATTTCTTTATCATTTTATGAAATGTTTTCCCATCAAAAAACATATGTAAGATAAAAGGTAACTATTTTAAGTGCAATGATTAAAAATCCAGCCAGGTCTAAGATCCTGTTAACTGTCCTTATCACTGGATAAATGAAGTTATATGTATATTTTCCATTCATTTGGTTTCTGTCTAATCTTTGTATCAGTTGTAGAATTCACATGGATATGATCTTTTCAATCATGACTATGTCCTCAGACAATAGTAATATTCCTTTCCTAGATATTAAGTCTTTTGAAAATAAATGAGCACATTAAGCCGTCTAAAGGACAGTAGAGAATGCTGTGAGCAGAAAGGGCATCACAGAATGTTTCAGACTTTTTGGAACTTAAAGCCTTCTGGAGAGAAAGGACAAGAACACATGAAATATATATGATAGCAAAAACCACCAGAGACTTTAATGGTGGCGGTGCAGTGCCAGGAGGTAGCTTGCCACACTTCCCTCTAGGAGGAAAACAAAGTGCTAGGAAATATCTCATACCAAGCAGATCGATGCACTGCTGTCACTTCAGAAACATGAAAAAAGCCGTAGGAGACATTTCTAACCGGAGGAATGCATCAAGAGAATTCTGCTTTTATTGTTTCAAGACATACAGCTTATTATTAATTACCTCATGTTTTTCCTTGAGCGGTTCAATATTTTTAATGGGATATATCATTTTAGAGAAAAAAGAATTAATTTTTTGAAGCCCCTAAAGTGAAAATTTCTGAAATAAATGTCAAAGCAGCAGCACTCCTTCTTCCTCTCCATCTCCTGCCTTCATCTGAAAGGAAGCATTTCATCACAAATTTTATAAGAGTGGAAGTATTTCTAGGGAATTTTTCAAAATTCCCCCTTTTCTTCCAAGAATTCTTGTCATTATTTAATCAACTTAAAATTTTTAAAATGTAATTTTTATGATTGCCCATCATGATCTCCCTGGGCTTCTCATATTGCTGAGTCTGTTCCCCTTTCCTCTGGAACAGTTCCTACACCCTGACCTCTGTTCCACCACAGCCTCTTGGGCCTATGTGTACATCTGTCATCACTCTTACCCTATCACCTCCAAGTTTTCTTTTCTTCTATCTCTTCCAGTGGTGTGCAGGTTTAGCAACTGGTAATCCAAGAAAAAGGAAGTATGCATGCATACATCATTTTTTATAAATGTTGCTGATATGAGCAAGGTGTGGCACATAACATCAATAATAACATTACTTATAACATAGTTTGATATGCATTACATGTATCTAATTATTTCTTCTGGAATGCTTTTGTTGAATTTTACCAAACTTTTATATTTATAAACAACCTGTAATTGCAATTGATGAGCCTATAGCTTTTAACATCGAGGTTGGTTGGTATTTTCATTTATATTAGTCAGTATAATAAGAAGGAAATAAGGAAACTGTCATAACTACACATGTGCCTTAATGATGCAGGCAATTTTTTGCTAAAAGGATTATAGCGTTTGAATAATGAAATAATTTGTTAGTTATTTGCACTATTCATAGTATAATGGCTATGAACATGGCATAGTTTTACTGCGTATCTACTTTAACATTTTCCCCATCCTTTTATCTCAAAAATATCTTACATTATTTAGTGAAAATGCCTGCTTTCAGAATAACTATTGTGATGGTGGTGTTCAGAAAAGATTCATAGTAGCAGAAGAGTGTAACGCATTTCCATCACCCAGATAGAGTAGGCATAGATTTACTCAAGAGTATAGATGTGGATGAAGTAGGGCACATTAACTAGAAAAAAATGAGGTTTTAGTATTTATTTCCTTCTTATAGTACATTATTGAATACTAAATTCATGTAATTTAATTTCAAATAATGGCTGCATTAAACATCAGACTAGAAAAACTTCCTGACAACTTAATATGAGTAAACATTAAATAGTTTGGTCTGGTTTTTGCACACCACTGAATTTTGTCCTGTGATATTGTAGTTCCAGAATGTTCTGGACTTGACTCCTTTCTCATTATCCTAAATACTTCATTTGTATGACTTTAAAAACCTTCCTGACCTCAGATGACACATGCATGCTAATGATTTTTGCATTTTTCTTTTCTAGCCACATGTTTTCTCCTGACTTTCAGAGTCACATCTCCAAATGTCTACAGAGCATCTGTGTTCAGAAATTTTGCAACCATTTCAAATTCATCAGCTCCCAAGTCAGCCCCTACTTTGATGGCCGTCAGTTCACTGCTGACACTAGTCACCACATCCTGCTGATTTTACCTGAAAGATAGGTCTATAATCCGTTCATGCTTTAGCTCCTAACTGAAATTAGCCTAATCTGTCTCACTTGACAGGGGTACTGTATCAGAACGCTAAATGCTTCCTACCCTTCTACCCTATCTGCACACACTATTTAAATTGCAACCTCCCTATTCCTTCTCTGCTTACAACCTCTGACTCCTCACCTCTAGGACATCCTAGACCTTATTTCTCACCATTGCCTCTCATGTACATCCTGCTCTTATCATCACTAGGAACCAGTTGTAATTCATGTACATTACGCCTTTTGTTGCCTTTTTAACCTGGAATTCTCAGACATTTTTGTTACTGATACTTTGATTCAGTTCAATCTCCACCTTTCCCAAGAAGCCGTCTCTGTGTTCTTGTCGATAAACCTGCCAGGTTAAGTGAGTTTCCTCCCATGCCACAAAAATTTGTCATTTTCATTGCCTTTTCCAGTTGTAATCATTTATTTCTGTTTCTATCTACTTGACCAAAAACAAAAATAAATTCCCTGAGGAGAGAAAACTACATACAAGCCTGAATTCATTGAAAATATTTAATAAGTGCTTAATGGACAAATGATTAAATGAATTAATGCATAACCACAACACTAAGTAAAATTTTCCTCACTTTTTCATAGCAATATGTTTTATACCTAGAAGTCCCAGGTCAGAATTTTTTTAACTTAGAGCACTCAAAACAGTTTCATTTGTATCTTTTAAGGAAGATGTATTTCTCCTGAACTTAATTTTGGGACCTTCTACTAATTTTCATAATATTATTTAGGAGGACATTTTTCAGAAAGTTTTTAATAGAGGAGTAGAAGCATCTCAAATCATACTCTAGCTCCACATGCAGGAAGAAAATCTGTTAGCAAAGAAAGTGTCAAAATGCATTTTGCCCTGAATTTTGATCATTGATTCATTCATTCATTTGTTCATTAAATAATAGTGGTTTAAGCAATGCACATGTGATTGAGGAGAAATCAGGGGATAGTACCAGACAATAACACACTCCAAATTAAAAATAACCAGACAATGTTAGGACAAAACAAAGGAATTAGAAGATGAAAGAAGATAACAACCAAATTGAATCTATCTGAAATAGCAGGGAAAGGTATTAGAAATTGTATGCCTGCAGGATTATCACAGAGAAAACTTTCCATTGAATAATGTATTTTAAGGATTTTGTTTATCCTGAGCATTAAGATTTTACATTTGAGTCTTTCTTGACAGGATGTGTTCGGAGATTCCCATGCTGCCAGGTTGACATAGAGTCGGGGAAAGGAAAGATCTGGTGGAACATCAGAAAAACCTGCTACAGGATAGTTGAACACAGTTGGTTTGAAAGTTTCATTGTTCTAATGATCCTGCTCAGCAGTGGAGCTCTGGTAAGTGATTTGACACCCAAGTCAATAAACTGGTTGTCAGTATTTTTAATAAGTAACCTGGAAGATAAGAAATATCATGATAGATTGTTTTACTTTAGGATTAATCCCTATGATTACCAAGGACAAATTTCAGATGAGATCAGTGAATATTTCCTGAGCATTCCTACATGCAAGGCATTATTCTTGCCATCCAGAATACAAGGACAGAAAGATCCAAGTACTGTTCTCAAGGCTAACAGAGTAACGGGAAGAGACAGGTCCAGACAGTGATTACAGAGCTGTGATGAGTTTGTAAGTGAAGTGTACACATAATGCTCCACAGCAAAGAGAACAACTATCGTCTTGTGATTTGGGAGTGGCAGGTAATGCTTTGCAAGGTCGAAAAACAATAAACATTTCTCAACCAGGAAAGTGGGCTGAGGTGAGCAAGTGCGCAGTGGTAAGGAAGCATAAAGCCACATGAAATATTGAGAAATTGTGTGCTACTAAGCTGTAGAGCACGCTGCGGGAGGAAAAGCAAGTACAAGTGGAGAGAGACATTGTGAGAAAGACATGTAGTCAGCTCATGAAGAAGCTTGTATGATTTTATAAAGCAGGTGACAGTTTCAGGATGAGATAGAAGGAATTTCTCATTCTTGTACAACGCTGACTCTATGTTAACCTGGCAGCATGGGCATCCTGGTTACATTACAGGATGCAACCTAGTTGCGTTACAGGTTCTGCTGTAAGGGTCTAAAAGAATATGGGAGCTAAACCCACCCTAAGATTTTTTTATTTGTCATCCTTTCCTGTTGACGTTAACAGAGAGGACCCATTAGAATCCAATAGGAGCCCAGATCCAGCTAGATGTGTTACTGAAAGTTTTATTATACTAAAACCAGATAGTTAAGAACTTTATAAATTAACTCACATTCTTCATTATTAATCTGGAATTTAATTTTCTCAACTCTAGGCTAACATGCTACACTGTTGTTATTTCAAAAATTCTGACAGAAGATATGAGATACTTAGGTCAGAGATAAAAGACTTCATTACTCGTGGTGCATAACGTAGCTTGACCTAAATCATGTTAGTGTTGGCTCCTCCATGCCCAGGCCCCAGGAGGACACACTACAGGGCTGGATGAATACTGCATAATTAGGTTAACATCATGGTTAAGAAACATTGAGCTTAAAGAAACCATCCTTTCATATCAAGCTGCAATCAACTCTTTGTTGTCCCAGAGGGAGACACTATCTCAACTCTCAAGGTTGCCTGGTGCAAATACAATCCTGAGGAACGGCCTGGGTGAAGAGCAGTCAGGGTCTGTCATTCTTCACATTCTTAGCAAAGGACAGATATGACTCTCTTCCCCACAGTGAATTCCCTGGAATGACAAAGCTCATCGCTCAGAAACAGACAGCTTAATAAGAAAAGCACTATTTGTCTTGTACAAGTAGGAAACTTAATATTGTCTACAATGTCTTGTATTTGCAATAATGAAAGTTTATTTCATGCTGAGTCATATATCTGAGAGGAGATTTTAAAAATTAAAAAAGCAGTAACTTGTTCAAACTGTCTAAAGAAGATGACACTTTGTTGGAAGGGCACTTTCCAAACTATAATTCAGAGCCTGTCCTATGACAAAGAAAAGCAAAAAAAAGGTTTCGAAAAGTTGGTGTTTTCACTCAGGGAGTTTGGCAATTCGATTTTTTTTTTTTTAATTTTAAAAATAAAAGGAGGAAAACATTAACAGACAGACAACCTTTTACAAAATAGCAAAAGAACAGTACAGGCAATAAAGAGTTACAAACAAAGTGGTAGGAAATTAGCAATGCTTGTTGTATTACACATTGATATCTTCAAAGTTGTTTCTCATGAAAACAGAGACATGCAGTATTGATCAATCAAGGACTCATCGACAGTTTCTTTCAGGAAAGAAATAGAAGACAGTACATCAACTATGTTAACTATCCTGTATATACATACATACAAAATTTTTCCTTCTTTCCCTTCTCTTTTCCCACATCCCAGTTGCCCTTTACCCTTGAGTGTTTTCCTATCATTTCATAATGTCTATCATACCTCCAAGTTTAAATTAACTCTTTCAGGTTTTACACTAGTGAGACAATGCAGTGCTT